TGTCTGTGCCGCTTTGCTTATTTACTTCTAATTTTTGTTTTTTTTATATATGCATCATTTCGGACATCATTCTTCTATAAAATGATTTTTCTGAATCTAGAATGTTGATATTTTCCTAATTTAATTTATAGTCGTTATTAAGCTGATGATACGATAAAGAATTTTGAGGTTTTTAAATATCGATTTTATATTCGTCGTTGCGTATATTAAATTTTCGTCGATGCGTATATTAAATTTGTGCTGCGTTAACAGATAGCGTATAAATAAATAAATAAATAAAACAATGTTATCAACAAATGGAATGTTCATTATATGTATATAAATATGTATACCCACGAAGTCGGCTGGTAATCGACTGTCAGTCAGAAGAAGTCAAAAGACTTTGAAGTCAGACTGAACGTCGACTTTTTTAGTCGATAAATGTCCCAAATATAGTCGATTAGCCATTGTCAGTAAGCCATTGTATTCAATTCGATAAAGTCGACGATTATTGTATTAAAATATTTTTATAGGTTATGACTAGTTAATTTTTTTAGTCGATATTATGGCATCTGTAAGTTGTTTTTTCAATTTGGTGTAATATAAATAAAATTTAATATTTCCAAAAACTTTGTGAACCTAATTTTATTATTCTTTAAATATATTACATTATGTAAAAAGGATATAATATAATTAAAGTAGAATACAATTAAATCGGTTAAAATCGATTTTTAAAGTATTACTATAAATAGTGTTATACTATAAATAGTAAAATTTCTTAAAAATTTCTTGTTCAATTGAGTTCTTTTATATTTTAATTGTATTGTATTTTTTAACATAATGAATTTAAAGAGTAATAAAATTTATAGAAAAGTAATAAAATTTATAGATTCCGAGTCTTTAGAAATTCAAATTTAATTTGAATATTATAATAATATAGACAATTATAACTAAAGTAAATAAAGACACATAAAGACACGTAAAGATATATTTATAAACAATGTACATAATATATATATATATATATATGTCTGATTACATGATAAATGGAGTATCCTGTGTGTGTATGTGTGCGTGTGTGTGTGTGCGTGTGCGTGCGTGCGTGCGTGCGTGCGTGCGTGCGTGCGTGTGTGTGTGTGTGTGTGTGTGTGTGTGTGTGTGTGTGTGTGTGTGTGTGTGTGTGTGTGTGTGTGTGTGTGTGTGTGTCAGAGAGCCAAAGTCGTCTAAAAGATGACTAAAAGACGACTTAATTGTTATAAAAATTTTAATGAAAGAATATAGTCGACGAAATGATGACTAAAAAACGACAGATGTCACATTGCTAGTCATCTAATAGGATAATCCCGCAAATACGTCGCGCTGGGATTTACGCCGCAGAAATCAGAATAAATAGAAAGTTTAAGATAATTTTCCTGCAACTACTCTGATACATGCCTTTGTGTTATATTAATATTGTGTTATGATTTCAGTTTCTTACTGTTAATATTAATAAAATTATTGTAAGTTGAATCGATTTGTCACTGTGTTAAGTAGCGCCATCAAAATTATAATCTATATACAAAATTATAATCTATATAAAATGATTATTGTTGAAAGATGACTGTAGGACGTGCAAAAGACTTAATGATTATTTTGTGATATATGAGTGTAGAGGAATATATACATAAAATGATTACTGTAGGACATGCAAAAGACTTAGTGATTATTTTGTGATATATGAGTATAGAGAAATAGTAAAATATGTTGTATAACAAAATGCAAATACTTTGCTCTTGTATTCTTTGTTTAGTTGTCTTGTATATCCCACTTATTTGGAATATATGGCATTTTTAACAGGCGGGATTTATGCCCAAAGCATACAAAGCGCAGATTGAATTCAGTGTACTAAATACAATAAACACATTACATAAAATACCTCATGTCATAACACTTGTAATATATCTGGAAGATTGTAATTATTATTTATTACTTCATATACATATTTATCATTCTTATTCCTTAAAATTTTATAAATGCATTTTATAAGTTATTGTGTGTTATTTTATCTTATTTATATGCATTATTTGTAAATTTTTTTGAGCCATACATGTCCTCTCCCCCTTCCCCTATGAGCAGCTATACATCCCACCCTTGGGATATATGGCAAAAATGCAAGGATTTAAAAAAGTTCAAAAGTTTTTAATACGAAATATAAATATTTCGGATTTCTAATATTTTTTTCATAATAGTAAACAGTATAAAGTTTTTACTGATATAGCTCGTTTACTTTACACATAATCTTATCCATATGATAATTAAAGGATGACTTCTTTGGATATCTTTTAGTCATTTCTAATACTTTTTTTAATTCTTATATTTTGACATATAACGTTTAATAACATTTCGAATTCCTAAATTAATTTTTACACAAAATGAAATAAAATTGCATGACTGACAATATACGTCCTTCGTGTTTGCCATGTCCTATATGCAAGAGTGATTATCTTTCATTGTACTCCCCTTTGAGAACTCAATTACAAAAACAAATTTATTAGTTCATTAGAACACGAGTAAAATCTCATAATGCTGCACCTTTTATTCTGTCTTGTATGATTTTCAAACACGAGAAACTGAACTCTATCACGTCCATCTGGTGGCGATCTCGCGTACTGCTCGCGAATGAGTGATAAAAAGTACCAAAATAATAATAACGGAAAGATATCTTTTTCATGTTGTCTTTTCGGCAATACGAAAAGATATCTTTTAATTGACTTTTTGCTTTGCGAAAATGACAACCATAGAAAGATGACAAAAAGATGTCTACTTTTAGTTTTTTAATTTTTAGTTTTAGATATCTTATAGACATCTTTTAGTCTTGCTGAAAAGACAATCTAAAAACAATGCCTTTTAGATATTCATACATTAAGTAACGTCTTAAGACACTAATGCAGCCTTTTGATTGGTTCTTTTTAAGACCGTAGACCTTAAGACAGTCTTGAATATAAGACCTGACTACTGGCCATAGACACCTTTTCGCTTTGTCGGAAAGACAATTCAAAAAAAACTTTTTTCGTCTTTTTTAAGTTATTTTAAATATTTTATTTAAAAAAGATCTTTTAATATTTTGTGTCGTCTGAGGTATATATATCATGTGTGTTATCTGTATGTATATATATCACAAAGTAAACTTTAGTAAATATGTATACACCAACTGCATTCGGAAACATTACGCGAGTGCCTCCATGTATTGTTTTATCCAGGTTGTTCACCCAATGTTAAACAAAGATAAGATTATACACTGAAGCACCCAATTAAACATTTCGAACGCAGTCTTACTAGTTAATGTTCTATAAATTTATAGTTAAAATTCTATAAATTTACGTAAAATTTATTGAAGTAACTGTGATATTGATTACAATAAATGTGCATTTATTGAATTACTTAGTTTTGAGTACGACATATATATCAAAATCAAGATTATGTTTATACATATATATAAATTTTATATTTATGTGACATTAAATTTACATTCCGTGGGATAAACGAAAAAGCCGAAATCTTTCCACCAGTTTTGAAAAGTCTTTGGGTAAACTCAATCATTTTTTAGCTTTCTATACTTTAAATAACTTCCTCATAATTCTTCTAGGCTGAGACGGATCGTCCAGGTATACAAACTCCACCGTTATCACATTAGAAATTATTTCTATTTTCGGTTTAGCCAAAGAAAAGAATATCCGTGATTCTATAATATTCTAAAAGTATAAAATTTTTACAAGAAACCAAGCTATAAAAAGAGTTTTCCTTAATTATATAAAACATAAATTTTATGCTTTTTCAAATATATATATATATATAAGTCGACTAAAAATTGAACATAAATTTCAGATTTTCGAAAATAATTGACTTCAAATCGGCTTACAATCGACATTCAAAATCGACAAAAGCCATCCTAAAATAATCGACTAAAATAATCGATTAATGTTGATTTTGCAAGTCAATTCTAAATTGACTAAAAAAGTCAACTATTAAGATAAATTTTCACAAATTGCTCCATCCGGGTATTACAGCGACAAAAAGGATCAGGATCCTTTTGTCGCTGAAACAACCGATTAGAGCAGCTCATGAAAATTTATCTTCAGTCGTCAAATTGTCACGCATGCTGTGGGTATGTAGATATATAGATATTTATATTTATGTATAAGTATAT